TGAACCCGTCTGAAAATTGTGTTCTATAACTAATGATTGTAGTGTTGCCCTTGTCTATCTTAGAATTACGAATAACGGCTTGCTTGTAGACAATTTTGTTTGAAAATGATGTCAGATTTGTTTGAGAAACAGTGAGAGATAATTAATTTGCTTTTAGTCATTATCATGGAAAGTTTTGTTAATTCGTCATATTTTAGTGCAAATAATTTATTTACTTTTAAAATTATGTCTGAGCTATAAGCATATAACTTAAAGGTAGGGGTTCTTAAAATGAATCATTGACAATGTTCTTTAAAATAGATTAAGTCTAAAGACAGACTCCTGAGGAACCTCACATAATATGTCTTAAGTTTTTGATTACATCTTTCTATAGTGGACACACAGCTCTCTGTTATGAGCAGTTAAAATATCCCACATGCAATGACTAGAGTTTGAAATTAAACAGGATTATCTTTGCCTCGCCGCAAGGCCTATAAATCGCTAATAACTTAGTTATTTCATTGTTTTGCTGAAAGTACACCTAATTACATTCCGCGGCCTAATTTTGTTATTAACAATTGAGTTGATGATGTAAATTGACCACCGTTTAGTCTGTAAAGCTGACGTTTCAAGCGTTAGCCCTTCATCAGAGGTTTACCGTTCTGAAGAAGAACTAACGCTCGAGACGCCAGCTTTAGTAACTCTTTACGATAGCCAATTTACATTATCAACTCAGTTGATTAAATCAAATTATCTTATAATAACCACCACCGACGCAGCACCACAATGAGAAACTTACCCCCTTTACCTTAGACCAAGACAGACTCGATGTGTGCTACGCTGCCTACTATTGTTTTAAGATACCTCTCAACAAAGAATGCAACAAGTAACAAAGTCACCTCTATAAATAACTTTTGATGTTGGCTGATCTCGACTCGTTTTATTTTTGTGTTACCCAATGATTTCAAGTTGTCGTGATACAGGGCACGGAAAATTAGTCAAACGCAATTTTCGGCCGATTTTAAGTTCAAAATTAGCTGTGATCGTGAAACCTCCAAAGATTAGAGTAGCGGTTCTCTCTTTATAAAAAGTAAAGATTTATTCAAAATAGCTACCGAAGTAACTTGAGCAATATTTTTAACTTCCACAAAATGTTTTGTAAGAGAGAGGTCCTCATAAACTACCTAACAAAAAAAGTTAACTAAAACCAACAAAGCATGTACTTTGGGGTACCTAATTCTTGACTACAGTACATTCGTTAGGATGAACTAGGGGCAACTTATTCCTTCATTCCCATGATCAGAAAGACCACGTACACTCTCACTCTTAGCCCTTCTGCAGAGGTCGCGCCAATTTACATTATCGACTCATTTTATGGATAAAATTATTTTATTTCTGGTAAGTTGCTCCCACAAAGAGGGCTTGTGATGTCAAGAATATTTACACCCAAAAAGGGAATTTTTTCTCTTAGGTGTGGTGTGCAGACATTCATACACGCCCGGTCCCCGCTTAGTAAAGGGTGGAACTGGAAATACCACTCCGGATTATCGCATGTTCTTGGCCTGTTTTAGATCATAACTGAAACTGAAACATTATCACCTTGTCAGTATTAAGTTCTTGTTTTGCCAGGGAAATCGATGACCCGAACGTGTCGGCATCTTTTGCTGACGTGGCTTCACCTTTGGTTTGGGGGCATAAACCACAATAACATTGTCAAGTCATCTTTTTACCTTTGTCACGTATCCTCTTCATAACGGAAATCAAGAATGTAAATATTACGTCTTTTACAAAATTGAACTGGGGTTATGATGCTTACGGAAGCCAATATTTTCGCATACAGCTTTGTGTCTGATATCGTATAATTACGACATTGTCTCTTCAGTTTTACCAGAGGGGTCATCATGCAACCTAAGATTATCGGGGAATTTTCCTCTTTTTAATTCTCATGTCCTTGCCATAATCCTACTAAATCAAAACCAAGAAAATCGAGAAGTTCAAGCTGTCAAAAAAATATACGAAAGAAAAATGCAAATGACAGAAAAAAAAGCTGGTAAAAGAAAAGTAAAAAAAAAAAAGAAATTTTAACCTCTGATCACGTGACAGTGTTCTCTGTTTTGATTGGTGAATACTGCTGTTGAATAACTTGAACCCCTCAGCAAAGCAAAACAAAACATTTTCACTTCTACAGTATCGCTTGAGAGATGAAAGGTGGATAACTGTCTCTTTCACCCCGTTCAATTACCACTTCTGTAACGCTGTACTGTTTACCAAAGGACGGAAAGTGTCTGACAGCAAGGGATTAGAATTAAGCCTCATTTGACAGCGCGAATTAAACCTCACAACAGACCCACCCGAACTTATTGTCACATCGCCAAGCTTATGAAACAACTCGTGCGAAGGCTCCTACAACTGAACCTGTACCTTATCTCCGAGACTTGGCGAATCTCGTGGATGTTTGCATTTTATGGAACCAATTTCTCCATCGTCGCCATAGGAATGTTCTACGTTATTGATTTCCGTCGTTTATTTTGATGTGACGCATTACCGCTCCTGCTTTCATCACTTTCCTTCTACAGCGCAGCGACCGAAGAATCTCCTGTTCTTAGACACGAAAAGAGAACTATCTGGTTCTCTGTTGTGAAAGGAGTGTGGCTCTGAGGTACGGTAATGCTTCAAGGAGGTTTGATTGACGTGAACAGGCATTTTCATACCAAACTGAGAAAATCGCTCTTCTTGCCAGTGCGCCCGCCATATCAAACGACGATAAGAACGTAGTTAAGTCACCTAAACAAAACGTCCTTGTCTGACCAGTTTATGGGCTTTGAGGGATTACAGTGAAAAGCTTTTTAGTGGGCTTGGTTCACAGGTGACCTCCATAACTTGTTTCGTTCAGGTTGCATAACGACTTTAGAGACTTGAGAGTGATTAGTGCGCCTGCCAAACAAGGCGGGAATTTCAAATAAACATGGACGAAGTCGACTATGATCAGGAGCTTCCTCGTGAGCTCATCAAGTGTGTCTTAGTTGGAGATACTGGTGTTGGAAAGACACGCCTTATTTGTGCACAAGCTCTTGGAGTTGGTATCCCTGCACCCCAACAAGAAACAAAGCAACATATACATTTTCCGACGGTTTTTGCAATTGATCAGTATCATGTGTCTCAAGAAATAAGGGAGCGTGCGAACTTCCGAGTTGATGGAGTCGATGTGGCATTGAGACTGTGGGATACATTTGGTGATCATGAGTTTAACCGCAAATTTGCATATCAGAATGCTCATGTTGTATTGCTCTGTTTTGCTTTAAATTCCCCCAACAGTTTCAAGAATGTCAATGCTGTGTGGTACAGTGAAATAAAAAAGTATTGTCCCAGAACCCCTATCATTCTGGTTGGTATGCAATCTGATTGGCGTATGTATGGCAAAGAGACCACAGTGAACTCCAACAGAAGTTTGTCAAAGCGGATGCGAGAGTGTTCCCTTGTGACACCAGACATGGGTCGCCAAGTGGCAAAAGAGATTGGTGCAACTTACTATGAGACAAGTGTTGTAACAATGTGGGGCATCCATCATGTGTTTGAAAATGCAATTCGTGTGGCACTTATCAACAGGCGACAGATGAGATTCTGGTCATCTCAACTGAAAGGGATCCAGAATCCACAGCTTCAACCCCCTTACTTGCCAGAAAAACCTGATCCTCCCAAAGTCACTGTGCCACCCTCCATCTTTAAGGAAAACATTAAGGAATTACTTGATGGTGGCATGTGTGCAGATGTAGAATTTCAAGTTCGTGGTCAGACCATCAAGGCTCACAGAGCAATTCTTTGTACTGCAGCACCAACATTTGCTAAGCTTTTCTCTTTGAATGAGGAAAAACTCTTCAAAGGGCTCAGCACTAGAGAAAAACTTGTGCTTCAGGATGCTCTTGTGTTTGGAGAGCGAGGGAGTCTACCCAGGGGTTTTGTAGCGCTTGATTCTTACAATGATATCTGGGACAATGAGGAACAGAGCTCCATGGTTCAAGTTACAGTTGAAAACTCTCTTACATACAGAAATTTCATGTACATTCTTGAATTTCTGTACAGTGGAAATATTCCTCTTGATGCATGCACTGAGGAACTCAAAGATGCTGCAAGAAATCTTCAACTCTGTAACCTTGTAAGTTACATTGCCAATGTAATGAACAATATGGAGTACATGAACACTGAAATTCACTCGAAAATGGTGCGAGAGATGTCTTCCAGTGCTAAAAAGCTGGTGAACTCTGAAATGTTCTCTGATATTGTGTTCCGCATTGAAGGCAGGATTGTTATGGCTCACAAGGCATTTCTGGTTGCACAGTGTGAGATGATGGCAGCAATGTTTATGACTGGACACTTCAAAGAAAGTGGGGTACAAGTGGTAAGAAATTCTAAATTCTTTTGTTGAATTACCATTTAATTTTCAATGACTTGTAGTAATGAGGGTGGGTAAACTTGTATTCAAAGACAATGGCCTAGGTTTGATTCACAAATTATGCATATTATGTGAGTTGAGCTGTTTGTTGTTTTTTGCTCCTGACCCAAAGGCTCTCCTTCAAGTTCTCAAGTTTTCTTTCCTCCACAAAATCCAACCTTTTAAAATTCTTATTCAACCTTGAAACTTAGAGTAGAAGAGACACACTTTCAATGAGGATGTGACAGCCAAAATAATTTTCATTTTGTTAGTTGTTGAATATTTTTATGGTACACTATATTTTAAGATACTTAATTCCCATGCATGTACATGAAACTTTTCCATGTAATATCAATGCTCTTTTGAATAAACTTGTGATTAGGACTGAAAAACTCACCAAGTAAGGGTTCTATTAGGGGGTTAATTTTGGATCTACACTATGTTTTCTTGAAATGTAAACTCACATGGGGAAAATTGCCAGATCATTGTCATGAAAGGGTCAACATTATAACTTTGTCTAAAAAAATGATCCAGAGGGATAATGAGATGGTCATCTTGATGATCTTTCCCTGTGATCAATTTCTGAGATGACTGAGTGGGTTTTAAGGGAACAAGTTTGGTGGTTAATGAAATATTCACAGCGAAAACAAAAGAAAAGTAAAGAAAAACAAGAAGATAAAATCAACAATCAGTGCCAAACCACTCAGTAATTTGCAAATTGGCACCTATTTTTGTGCCTTACAAATTCACCCAACTGCCTTGTTGATAGCCATTACTTGAATTGCTTATTGTTGTACAATTGTGCATCAAAAAAATATTAAAAGGAAGCTAAGTTTAAAGTATGGTTAACACTATTCTTAGATATCTTCAACTTTCTTAGATGAGTATACCAAACTTAAATGACATTTAGAAAATTAAAACAATGATTATTTTAACAGGTGTTGGATGTATTTAGTCAGCTCCACCCAATACTTAACTCTAACTCTGTGAATAATTTATTTCTTGCAAATTTTTTTCAGTTTTAAACCCTCGTGGCATTGAAAACCAACCATAAAAGTTATGTGGCTGTTGAATGTGAATTCTGAATTAAACTATTTTTTGCAGTTAAACATTACCTAGTGGCATTTAGGCTAGTTGTATATTTACATAACATTCACACATCCACTCAGCAGGTGTTTGTGAAAAATGTTTTAGTAAATGGTCACATTGAAAAGAAAGCAAGAAAGGAGAAGTGGCCAAAATGTTAGTTCAGTTGGTGGGCTTGGAATACATTCATTTTGTTTTGTCTTAACAAGTATATTGCCTTCCACTAGGAACAACAATGGTAATCAGTATTTACATTACAATTAGAGCTGAAGAGTGTCTGCCTTAGCCACATTCTCTGCATTCATATGCAAATGCATTAATAAATGTGCAAGATTCATGTTATTTTTGGGAGTTAAAAGGTCTTGTTGGACAGGTTTTGCTGTTATCCCTTTCTTAACAAGAGGCCTGATGTCAAAAGACTTAACCCTTTAACTCCTAAGAGTGATTAGCATCTAATTTCTCCTTACAATATCAGCCTGTAATCACTCAGTCGGGTCACAAGAATAAAGGAAATGATCACCAACCAAAGAAGCTCTTGATTAAACAAGTTCTCCTTGTGAGCAACGTAGGAAACATGTAGAGAACAGTGTGGAGAATATACATACTGATATTAGGGTGTAAAAGGTTAAGGCTTGGTTGATTTTCTCTCACCTATAACTAAAGTTAATAAGGCAACTATTGAATGCAAACAGTTAAAAAATAAGAGTACTTCTATTCATGACATCAAGTTTTGTCTTAACTTTAAATTTGTTGCATCTGGCATGCTCTTTGGTGTGGGTTAGTCAAGAAAATGAAGAGTTATGTGCACACCCTCTATGTAAACAATCACTACTTTTGGACTGAGTGTAAGGGCAAGATGGAAAGATATTTGGCTGTCAGTCATGACATTCAGAGTTTGCTATGGCTAGTCTATATGTTTAGCCTGACCTTGCTCGCTCAAGAAGTATATAGCTCTTATCTGATTGGTGTGCTCTTTTCTAGTCTTGCTTGTCCATCACATTTGGCCCCCACCTGGGTCTTTTTTATAATTTTTGTTGATAAAAGGGTATGTGAGAAGCCTTACAGGTCACATGATAAATATGTAACTGTATGTTTCTTGAATTGCATTATTTGACGGCTCTACAGTTTTTCACTGTCATGGAAAGTTATGAATGCTGGTCACTTCGAGGAGGTCAAAGGTTAAGAGTGTTGCATACTTTCTTTTCTAGGTGGAATTTAAGGACACAAACTTTGAAGCATTTTTAAGTGTCCTAGAATATCTCTACACTGGGCAGTGCCTATCTCTATCAGTGGACGATATCGTTAGTGTGTTGGCTCTGGCAAATTTCTTTTGTCTGCCCAGACTTGTGGCTCTTTGTGAGCAACACATTGTCAAAGAACTGCAGGTTGCCATAGCAACAAATGAAATGGCTGTCGCTGAGGACATTGTTGGTATGTATTAATATTTTTCTTGTTCAAAATCAAGGCAACTGAGTATCTTACTTAAAACATGGTTCAATCCATAGCTGAGAATGAAATTTGATATACATTTGAATGTATATGATGATATTTATGAGAACTTGTGTAGCAAAATAAGAAAACACCTATAGTACTTTAGTTAATTACAGTCAAGTTAGTTCATGATGGTTTTATATCATCTATATTAAAACAAAGGTTAGTAACTTTAAGAGAATGTCGCAGTCAGTAATGTGTAAGCTAAAAGATAGTGACAAATTTAGGTACAAGGGGGTAGCTGGAGGAAAGGATGATGGAAATTAAATATAGAATCCTCTAGCAGACTCAACTCTTTCAGTTCCTTTTAACCCTTCTCACTCTAACATCAATGTGGTTATTCTCTATACTGTTCCCTATATTTTTCCTGTGGCAATGACAAGAGGAATTGATTTAACAAGCAAGATCTTCTTTAGGTAGCCATCTTTTCTTTTATTCTCCTGAACTTAATGCTTGATTCAGGAGTAATACTATAAGAAGAAATTACATTTTGGTTACTCTTGGGTTTCACCAGGGTTTCTGTGGTGAGGCAATTACCTTCCTCAACTGTGGAAAAAAAAAAGAAAGTTTGTAGTCGTCCAATGCAATGTTAAAATTTTGTGTTTTATTTACTTATTCCATTCAGCTATCCATGCAGTTGGATTTGCTTAATGGTGGTCTTACATTCAAGTCATTGACTATTCTCTCTAACACTACATGTAGCTATTTGCTTTCAAGTTGTTTCATGTTTAACCACAACAAAAGTGTATTATGACTAGTGACTCCACTCCAAAAAGTTAAATAATGTTTACTTTTACTTTATGTCAACTCAAGGTTATCTTCTTGAGGCTCAAATTCACAATGCTTCACAACTAGAAGCCTGGTGTATTTACTACATTGCCACACACTATAATGCAGTCTGCCGCCATTGCCCTAAGCATGTGAAGAACCTCGACTCATCAACACTCAAGGGCATAGAAAAGAAACGGTGGCCACCAGCCTGGTACATTCTAGAGGCTGATTGGTATGAAAAAGCAACAAAGGAGCTTGAAACTGAGAAGGCTGCAGAGAAGCTACGGAAATCACACAAGCACATTAGGCATAAGAGAAAGTGTAGCTGCTTGTGAGATCACCCTCAAAACAAGGTGGCAGTGTTTCACTGTAGTGGTAAATAAACAGACTTTAAGTAGTGTGTTTTGCATCTTGATATGACAGAGATATATATCTTAAAGCCTTAATATAATAAGTATTCATATAGAGCATTATTATTATCATTGTTATTATTATTATAGTCTGACATATAACTTTTGGATACAACATGTATGTATTTTTTTAATTACAGTATAATTACAATGGAATTATATTCAGTCTGCCTTACTTACGTGTCTATCAGAATATCACCCATATCAGTAGTGTCACTAGTGATACGATTTTGTGACAGAAATGCTAATATAATTGTAGTTTAATTTCAGGGGCTAAAGTAGAAGAAAAAGTGGAAAAAATTTGTGGATGTCTCTGTATATGAAGTTTAAGCTGTACACATGAAAAACCAACAGAGGGTAATGAAAATTATTGTTTATTGTTCAACAAAAATCACATAATTGCAGTCACACTGAAAATTTACTTGATTGTAAATTAAAGCAGTTGCAGGCTGGTCAAGTGGATACCAATCAATACAGTACAGTAGTAATATTAACTATCAGTGCACCAGGTGCTCCTATAGAGAAATTGATTATATTAGCAACAGAGAAAAATTAGTGTATTGTGACCAGTGTTGCGAGTCATAACTGAATGACTAATATAACATGGACTATACCAAAGCATTAGAATAGCCTCCAGAGGTGTAGATATGTATCACAGTTTACCAGTACATGTATAGGAATTTTTTTTTCTTAGTTTGTACCTGTGTTTAGAAAGTTATATTTACTGGAAGTACTTTTGGAAAGTTACTATCCAGTCCAGATATAACATTCTTTAAATTACCCAAAATGTTTGTGTAGGCATGCACTATCAGTGCAGAACTAAAATCCAAGTGTGTTTATTTTGGTGTACTTTGTACTTATCAGGCGTATACTATCAATTACTTAATGATATCTTCTTGTATCATCAAGCAATGTAGCCCTTACTTGCTTGAGCTAAACTACACTGAATACTTAAATGCATCCTGCAAGCACTGTTATCTTTGAAAACAAGTATGTGCAGAAAATAGCCCAAGAAAAAATTCCACCTTTTTTTCTTGTGAAAAGGCATTTTTATGTTTTAGTTTCAAGGAACTACTCTCAAGTAAGGAAGTATATTTACAAATTCAGGTTGTCTTTAGCTGTTTTTTTGGAGCTGCATAGCATAGTTCCTTATGTATGTGAATGTTGTTTTGTAAGTCTTACAAGTATATTCCAACTGTGCTAAACAGTGCTAAGAATCAAAGCAAATAAGCATCTTAAAGAAAGTAGATGAAATTTAATGTTTTGTTTCTCTTTTGGATGTACCAGATTTGTAGAAGTCACTTAGATAGAAGTAGCACTTTGGGTTTGTAGCTAATTTCAATCTTGATAAGTTAGGAATTGAGATGTTATAGCAAGTCTGAGAAAACTGTGGAAAGATGTTGATATATTTCTTGACTGTGGCACCATTTGGTAGCATAGCAAAGTTTAAGTGCCAAGGTCACATTAGACTGGACAGCCATTTAGTATTTTGTTTATAGATGTTTTATATAGGACAAAGAGAGGTAATTTTTTCTTGGTGAGCATACAAAATTTAAATTTAG